TAGCAGTGCAGTTTGTAATAGCTAAAACTTGGAAACAGCCCAAATGCCTATCAACTGGAGACTGGATAAAGAAAATGTGGTTTGTTTATAAAATGGAGTACTACTCAGCCATAAAAAATGAGAAATTAGAGACATTTATAGCTAATGGTTCTACATTGAGGTGATATTCTTTAGTGAAATAAATAGGACACACGTGTAAATACTGAATGGTTTCTCTGGTGTGAGAAACTGAAAGTGTAAGTAAGCACTAAAAGATATAATATTTAATGTGAAATAGGAAGAAAAGGGGCAAAGGGGAAGGGGAATTGGGAGGGCTAGGGGAAAGGAAAGAAGGGAATGGAATTAATATGAAAAAATGAAAAAATGGAAACAAAGTCTTTGTAAATAGGGAGGGATGGAGGGGTTGAATGTAGGGCAGGGGAAGGGGGAAAAATAAGAAGCAAGAGAAGTTACGTAAAGGTGCAAATTTCCAATGATGAATGTCATTAAATTGTATACCTAAAATGTACCAATAAAATTTTAAAAAGAACCAAAAAAAGCAAATGTTGTATTTACACACAATGAAGTGTTAGTCTGCCATAAAGATAAACTTGAATTATTTGTAGGAAAATGGATGCACATTGAGATCCTAATGTTAAGTGAAATAAATCAGACACACAATCTTAAATAGTCTATGGTTTCTCTTTTATGAGAGATCCAAATTATAAATAAAGAGCAAAATAAAAGATAGATAATGGGAAGTAGCAAGATAGGTCTTTCTCAAAGTGGAAGGGGATTAAGAGATGGAGGGAGAGGGAGCAGAGCAGGAAAAAGACCATGAAAAAGGAATTAAGATTTGTTATATATATGTATCAACTCCACACAAAGAATATAAACATTATGTACTGCAAACATGTATTAATAAAGAAAAATGAATGAAGGAGCTTAACCATAGACAGTTTAAAAGACTTGAATTAAATTGTTCTATGAAACAATTATGTACTATAGTTACTTTCAGCTGGAAGTTAGTTACTAAAAGAGACTGGGGGAGAGGGCTGTGGTTCAGTTAATTTTTTGACTGGATATACAAGTAAATGACAAAACATCCAAATCGAGTCTCCCCTGTTCTCCACTAGGAAACATCTCACATCTCCTCACAAAACCAGAAAATACAAAATTCCTTGGCAGATAAGTTCAATAATCTTAGAATTTTAAAACTGGAATGTTATTGGAATCCATTTCTAAGCCAGTTGTTTTCAATTTGAAATGCATTTTCTTGAGTACAGTATTAAGTAGATTCACAGGTTACACTACAAAACACAGTGCAAAATAACAGCAAAAGGTATTCACCTTTTCAACCTAAACTGTATACTAGAACTCAGCTAAAAAATTTAATTCTTGGGAACCTAAGATCATGAGATATATGAAGACAAGAAGAAAAAAATCAATTAAAAAATTTCTATTTTTCCACCCACTCCCATTTCCTGACTGCTGTACTACTTCAAAGGGAAATTTGAAAAGAATGAACAATCTGTTATTGGCTTTCCCAAATCTTTTGTGCACTTTTCTCTCACTTCTTAAGGGCCCCCTTTTCCAGATGTTCAGATACCTCCATCTTTAAGATACCATTTTATTAGGCATGTGCTATGAGTCAGGCACTGAGCTAATAAATTCAAAGGTATTAAGTATTTGTCTATAATCATGTGGCAAAGCCAAGATGGAGCCTAACCCTTGAAGCCCGTGCTCTTAAACTCCACAACACTACACTGGCTCCTCCATACCAACCTCAGTCCTAACTGCTGTGAGAATCCAGTCCTTTCCTATCACGCCCTGAAAATCTTTAAGCAGAAAATTTTCAGCCTTCCTTTCCCTTAAACCAGGACAGCCATCCCCTTGTTGTAGTTAATCTCCTTTAGAAACACAGAAGAAACGCAATCTGAAGTAACTTGAGTTACTCTCAACCTTTCTGGAGGAAGCATATAGTATTTCACAACTGGCACATATTGTTAAGAATTCACTTTCAACCATTGGAATTTCAGTACCTCTAATATAGATTACATTTTTTCACAATTTCTTGCCTTCTACCTTTTAATACTCAGCTTAAAAGAAAGGGGAAAAAAGAACAATACAGAATTAGCATTCAATAAATTTTTGCTGCCTTTATTTCCCATGTCATGAAACCAAAGACTGAGCAAGCAATATGAAGTCATGTAACAAACGGCAGCCTAGGGAATAAAATCCTCAGAATTCCTAACTCCCAGGTCAGTAAACTTTCTTTTAAATACCTATAGCCCATAAAATAATTTAATCCATGTTTGTTTTGTAACAACAGAAAAGAATCCACCAGGGCCAGGGATTTAGTTCTGTGGTGCCGCACCCTTGCAAGGGCAAGGTCCCAAGTTCAATCCCTGGTACCAAAAAAAAAAAAGAATCCACCCTTTCTTAAGAGATTATTTGTTACTTCTACCTCCATTTTTCCCAAACATCAGCAGCTGCATCTCAGTTTAACTTGTAGTAGTTGAAGATTTTAAGAAACTGGGTTTTCAATAGACATTCAAATTCTACAACTCCTAGATTACTGGGTGTCTCCTCCAGAAGCCTGCAAAAGTGCAATCATAGAACAATAGGGGTCAGTATATCTTCAAGGATTCACCTCTACTTTAATATCACCCATTCTTAGAGGGGAAGTCAGACCAAATAGCTATATAATATAAATAAACTAAATGAAACTAATGAAGAGAATGTAATCAAATACTCCTGCTGAAAGACAATTAGTTTGTCTCCTTCAGAAATGAGCATTTAGAGAAATTTGAAAAAGAAGAAAAATCATGAACCTCTAAGAATATGGAAAATAAAGATGTTAAAGGAAATTGACCTCCAGATAAATATGAAAGCAAAATTCTTCCCAGTAACATTAAAGCAAAATGAATTTATTCAATAGAAAACATAGAGGCCCAAAGCAGTTGTTGACCAAATAGCAGAAACCAATCTATGAAACTGTAACTGAAGGTAAAAGTCTATAACTGTGCTAAGAAGGTATAGAAATTTATATCTTCACATCTTGCAATCTTGCCGTGTTTATTCATGTATCTAAATTAAAATAAAATAATTTTAATCCAGGCAAAATCACCCTTGAAAGATTATTTTTAAGATGTTTATATCTAAACCCAAGTTCAGTGCAACAAAAACATATTAGAAAGTAAGATATTCTATTTAATTTTTTAAACTTTCTATCTGGGGGATTTAAAATTTACTAAGTTCTAAAGATGAACAAAAATGAAAGTATATGAAATATACTTTTATTTTGTAAAACACAGAATAATGACATTCTTTAAGAACAGACTGTGCACTTCAACTTTTGTCATTCATATTCCATTTCTCCTAAATAAATCAGTTATTTAAATCTAATTTCTATTTATTTGTTAAGCATTTATACTTGCAGAAATTGGCCTTCATCTTCCACAGTGATAACATGATTGTGATTATAGTCAATAATAAATAGATTTTGGCTAACTTCTCTCCAATACAGACGTCTTAGAAATTAAAAAAAAAAATGCTTTTCTATCGTAATCTTATAAATATCCTTCTGATTTGCTTGTACTTTTTCTAAGTATGCTACCACTATCCTGTAATAGTAAACTATAAAATATTGAGATTCCAAAGAGCTGCCTACAAACCAAATGGCACCCTTGCCTTGACAGGCTGAGCCCTTCATTTGGGCTTCTCTCACCCCCTCTAGCGTTTGCGAAGCTCATCTGCCTGATTATCCAGTTACCTCACTGAACAAGAGCTGGGCTAAGTCCTGCCCATCTATGACATCACCCCCGTCTTCCACCACTGCGAGATGAAGCTTTAAACTTCAGACTTGGAGGTGGGCTGCCCGCAGTAAATGGAACGCTCTCCCTCGCTCTCTCCTCAGCACCGGAGTGATCTGAAGCCGGACAAGCTCAGGCTGCAGCTGCTGTTGGCTTTGTGTGGACTAGACGCAGCGTTTGGGAGACGGGGGAGGGTTATTACTCCAATCCACAGTCAATGGAATTATAGCTATCGCAGCAGTGTATATAGGATTGTTTTTCTCGTCTTCCTGGTAAGTGTTTTCCATGATTTTTCTTATGATTGTCCCAGAAAGTTTGCTTGGTTTTATTCTTTAGAAAGAAATGACTTGGTGTCATGAGGAATCAAATAGGGACGCCTGCTCTGTCACCAGTATGAGCAATGTATGTGCGTGCAAGCCAGCAGGGAAATTTTTGACGAGATAGCCAAATGCAAGAAGTTTCTTAAGACCTTCTTTCATTTTTGAAAAATGATAATTAGCTATTTTTTATCTCAAGTAATTCCTATATGAAAAAAAAGCCTTACTGAAAACAACAAAATGGAAAGTTAAATGTTAAATATTAGAGAATACAAGGCAGATTTTTCACAGATAGGAAAATGAAAGGTCTTGCTAATTTGGTGTGTACAGTATGTGTGGCATGATCACCAATTGCTGTTTTACAACTGTGAAAGAAAATCAATAATCTCTCGGCCCACGAGTATGCAGTACATGAAAAGCATACATCTCGCTCACAGCTGAGCTACTCTTGGAGACTTATGTGCCTCTGTAAAGGATTAATAGCTACACCTAGATCTTAAAGCTTGCACTGCTGTCCTGCCAGAGCTCCTTCAAGCATTTCAGGGTTAGGAATCTAAACTAGTAATTTCAACTCGGAAGAGGAGGGGGAAACTCTTTTCCAAACCATATTCCCCCTTCAATAGAATGCCAAAATCCATTGCTCAGACAAGTGCAGTATGTGACCAGCATAGTAACTGGGTAAGTCTACTCAGAAAAACTAACAAAGCTCACCCTGGAAGCTATGCTTGATGTATGCAATGAGTTCAGGGTGGAAAGGGAAAAAAACAAACACTAAAGCCCTCATCAAAGTGCAATATTCAGAGTATCCATTCGCTTGTAACTCAGAATGGAAAAATCTTATATTGGAACAAATGCATTTGTATTACAAAGCTTTCAAAAAGTAGTTAAATGTGTCTTCTCAAAAATTTTTGGTTTTGTGAATTAGGTCTGAAACAAAATGGTTGCATAGAGGTAAAGAATGCAACAGGCCCATATTTTTTCAAGGGAGGGGGTGTTAGTTTCTATTTATTTAGAATTAAGAAGAAAGAAATCTTGATTTTTTTAAAAGTTAAAGAACCAAATTTTATTGGTTTTCATAATTATTTTAATTTTTCTCAATAAATCTATCTGCTTTAAAATGCATACGTATGTTATTTTATTTTATTAGCATAAAAAAATGAATAAAGCCACTGGAAAGGTGCTTCAGCTGTAGCAATGCTTTTAATTTAGCCCATACTACATAAGAATATCCTGACTGGTATAAACATGAAGAATGAATTTGTCTGTTACCAGGTAGAGTCACTTACACCTGACTCAAAGTGACAAATGACTGATACTCATCTCTTTGGAAATGAGTAAAGAAACTAATCTCTTAAAAGTACCATAAAAATAATGCTATTATTTATACTACAAATATTAATAATAATACCAGGTGTTAATCATGAAAGGACTGATTGTACCATAGTTTCAAATGTACGTGTATATGGATACACACACACACACACCATCCATCCGCTTCTTTGCTTGAAATAAAAAACTGTTACAAAAATGTGTTTGAAGCTACTCAAGTAAAAAAATTAGTTTAATTTTTTACCTAAATAGACCAAAATACAAGTCCAAGGATCAGCAAAGATATTACTGAATGGGTAAACATAATGAATTTATTAATATTGTGTTTCGGTAATACCATCTATCAGTTATAAATTGGGCTTTTCATTTCTCCGTGTACCCTTCCCTTTTAAAATCAATTATGGCTAGGCTCAAAATGCCCAATTAAACACTTCCTAAGCATAATGTTTGTGAAATACATAATTCAGCAGCAAATAAAGTTTTTGCCAAAATGAAAAACAGTAAGAAAACTTGTCATAACCAAATGTGGCAGCAAAATAGAAGTTATGTTTATTTTGCTTTCAAGTGTTAATTAAGGAGCCTCCAATTCTATCAAAACTTTTTCAGAGCTAAATGAACCAGTGTGAAATAAATTTGGTTGAAATCTTGTGGCTGTCAGACTTTGTTAGCAAGCTATTAATTATCTTTAGTTTCTTCTCTAAACTAATATATTGCCCAATCAAATAAAAACTCCAATTATGCTCAGCATCTCCTGCCTAGGGACATAAGACCCTAATGAACATCCAGTCTCTCCCAGTGAAAAATACAAATATCAGCTTTATACATGGAAGTGCAATGCAGAGAGATTTTTCTGTGTTTTTCCTGGCCACATATCCTGGCTTTCTCCTCTTTCTGGATAATTATGAACAGTTTTAAGCCCTACAAAATTCAGTACCAAGGAATTTGTCTTTTCTTAATATTGTACAAGTGTTGTCTTTCTTGTTTTTTAGTTTTGCTATGCCAGTACATACCAAAATTAAATTAAATCTGATTATTTAAAAAGTATTTTGTTTAGAGTTGCTGTTTCATTCAATTCCCAACTTTCCTCCTCTTCTTAAATGTGGGTGGGCTACATAACAAAGAATGTGATAAATGGCAAGATCCAGAGCTAATTTAAAAATTCTGAATAAACCCCTTTATATATTCTCTTATTTGTACCAGTTTATTTAAAATGCATTATAAATAACTTTCACATCAAATGAAGAGCACCAAAAATGAAATGGAGGGAAATGAAATTGAGTAAATTTTTCAAAGGCTGTAATTTCTCCCTTTTCTCCCATTCCCCCTTTTCCCACCCCCCACCTTTTGCCCCAGAGGCCTTCACTGTTCTTCTCAACGGGAGGCTTTGTTGTAATTAAACCAGAGAAAAACTGGCCAGCAGCAGCCAACATCTGACTTGCGGCTTCTGAAAGCAGTGTTCTGCTAGAGTGTACCACCCCCCAGCGGGCAAAAACTCTACAGTAAATCTCTCAACAATATTCATCCTCAAACCAGCATTTTCTCTTTAAAGCATAGAAAGGGATGTTTCTCAGCTTCTTCTAGCATTCCACCATTTCAAAAAATTAACATAAAAAGTCAACAAATGAATTTCCAACAAAGAGATGCTTTAGCGAATATCTTCTGAAAAAGGCTTCTTCCTTTTAAAAACCAAAATAGGCATGTGCATTTCAGAAATCAAATGTTTCAAAATGCAGCTCAAAATCTCTACATTTGGTTAAACATAACTCTAAATGACAGGTTTGAAAGCCAATGTATATTGTAAAAGACAGCAGGTTTCAGGACTTTGTTTTAGTTATTTAACAAGAACTCCAGAAAAAAAAAGAGAGAGATTTTAAGGAAAAAGGAATTAAATAGAATTTAAGCAATTGGCAAAGTTTCATTTGTTTTGCATATATATAATATCTTTCCTACCGCAAAATCAAGTGTCAGGAATGTACAAAAAGCTCTTTCCAGGTATTAGTCTGTTTAAAATAGAGAAGGGAGAAATCGCTCTCACTTGATAAAACAATGACAGCTTTTGTTCCTTATTCTTACACTTACTTGTGCAAAAGTTACCGTGGTAACTTTGAAGACAAAACCCGCAGACCACATTTGGTTAAACACCATTTTTAAACTGTGCCACCAGACTGTGGATTGATCAGTTTATGTGTTGTTGATTTTCTTCCACTTCATCTGGTTTAAATCAATAATGGCCTGCTTGGACATGAAAATACAATGTGCTTTGTTACTTTTAGAAAGCTTCACCAAACAGCACAGTTCTTGCCACAGAGTTGGCTCAAATATTTGTGGAATCAGAGTATGGAAATTTAAATACTAGAAATTTAAAGCCAAATTATAGTTACACACATTAGAAGAAAGGTTCGTAATGGCAAAATGTTTGTGGTTTACAAGAGTAAGACACTTTTAATTACAGTTGCTCAAAAGTCAGCATAAACTTAAAGTATGCACCTTACTCAAAGCTCTCTAATAGTTACCTTCAACTCCCTCTAAATTAATATCTCTCATTTTTCTTTATAGATCTCTAATTCATTTAGTCTGGCTTTAATATAAAAGGAAGAGCATATTCAGTATGATGAAAGATAACATCCCAGTTTGCCTTTCTGTTTTAAGGATGCTTGATATAATTTTACAAGCCAAAATAAATGAAGCAGAATTAGATTCATTTATCAAAAACTCACTGAGGAAAAGAACCAGTAGCAAGAAAAGAGAAGAGAAAGTGAAAAAGCCTTTGAAAGTAAAAATCCTCTACGTTCCATAAATAAAACAAAACCTTCTTCAGGCTAGAAAATAGTCTGGATAAGGCCAAGTATAAAAAGGCACACTTGCATCTCTGCCTCTCAGCAAACCCTTCAGACTTCATGACTCTCCAGAGGAAAGTTAGAGGTCCTTCTGCTTGCCTGGCATTAAACAAAAGAATTGGAACTTTCCTGAAATCTGATGATCGTGGAAAATTTAACTACCAGACAGGCTGCTTAGAAAGCATTTTGCTGTCACTATCAACTAACCTGATGCACTCCAGTTTTTCAGTTTAACCATATATGTAGTCTATTTGTAATGCCATTTGTTGTTGCAAAGACTTTGTTATTCATTTTGTTGAACTTTATATCAGCAATGTTAGCCCTTATTAATTACTAATACTATATTGTGATTATATAAATTCTAGTTTACCTAGAAATATTCACAAATTTGAATAAATTTGATTTAGTATGTGTTTTCTTCAATCTCAGGTTTTTACTCAAAATAACAATTAACTTGGATGAAAAGTTTAAACTAGCCTATTTTCCAGATATAATATTTTAGAAATTTCCCAGCATTAAGAAACCATTCACTGAGGCAAATCAATTAAAAGAAACTAAAATCTTACATACTTCATTTACAACTTACCAAAATGAGTAATAATCAAACAAGTCAAACCAAAATCAATTTAAATAAAAGTTAATAAAATAAAGGGCTTAAACCCATAGCACTACCAGCATACAACTTCATCTTTACATAAGCTGTATTCTCAAAAAGAGAAATACTTTCTCATTCTCACCTCCAAAACATTGTATTAGCATAGAAGAAATCATATCAACATGTAGATTGCCTCACGTTCTTGTTTTTATTTAAATAAATAGTTCTACTGAGATTCAACTTCCTAATTTTTATTAGTTGTCCTAAAATACCTCAAAATGATAGCATTTAAAAATGTTTCCTTTAAGTGTATTATGAAAACAAATTGGAGACTTTTCAGACTTGATGATTACATTATAAATGCAAAAAAAATCCTCTACAATTTTTATTTTAAAAAGAAACTGAATAGAAGGGTACCTATTAAAACTTTCACTAATGAGGCCATTATGTTTTTCTTCTTTTTGGTACAATTTTAAGTGTTAAATACTTTAGTAATGAATCCCTAAAAATAATTTTTAAACATTCCGTTAAGCAACCAGAACTCTATTTATGTTTTCCCCCTCAAGATCTCCCATTAACAATATTTTTCTAAATGATCAATTGCTTTTTGTTCAGAAGTAATGGCCTCTTTCAAGCCTATGCAGACAGGCAAGCTCTGAAGTCAGTGTTGTGCAAACCTGGCCACAGTGTCCAGGCCAGTGAGGGTTGTTTATTTTTTCATCATGCATATTTAACTACAATGTCTCTATGTGTATGAATATGTAGGTCCAGAAAGGCAGAAACATGAGGCTAGATTGCTTATTTTTGATGGAGAAATCCTTATAGCCTTTAATATAGCAAAAACAAACCAAAACAACTGTTTTAACACTATAATTTCAAATATCAAAGGGAAGGAAAAAAATATAAATTGCAGTCAAACATGAATTGGACTGTTTTGAGCTGAAAGAAGGAATAGAGGAAAGCAAGAGGAGCTGTAAGCAGAATCTTCATTCCTAAAGGAGTATTCTTCTCTCCTAAGAAATCTGTTTTACATTTTTGCCTTTTGTTTTAATGTAATTTGGGGAGAAGAGAATGACGTTTTCCAAGAACTTAATGAGATTTAAGGTTTTCTGTTAATCTCACATTATTGCCACTATTGTATAAATGGCAAATGTGAGTCTGCATATCAAACAGTAGAAGGAGTTTCACGACTATAGAATAGGTAAAATAAACAAATTAATCTTTCCTTTCACACCTATTTAAGTTTTTTTTTATTTCTTTGGGTTAAAAAAATTGAGAAGATCAATACACATTCTTTAGCCTGATTTGACAAAATGTGTGTAGTTACAAGATTTTTTTTAAAAGGGAACTTATATCTCTGGTTGTCATTATAATCATCACCTTGGACTGACACAGTGTGGTCTGCCCTGGCTCTGAGCAATCAATGATTTTTACATCTCCATTCAGCACATTTATAATCTTAACATTAAAGTGTGTCTTACAGTACCAGTGCTCCTGGACCACAAGAAATGTTTGACTACTATTACTTTTAAACAGGCGCTCGCTTACTACTTTTATAAATAGCTTTTAATCAGTATCTAAAACTATTTAAGTAAATTAATTGTTTTCTAAGCTAAAATTAATTAAATTACTTTATGTGTTGGATAATTTTCATATTTAGAAAACAGTAACAGCAAAACATTTTTAAAGTAACTTTGTGATTATAATTTCAACAGCTTGGCATTCTATTTTCATACTCAGCAATCATTTACATGAAAATATACTTCTGAAATTCAATAATAATGAGTTAAACAACATAGCATTTCAGCTTTCCTCTGTGGACACTTTGCAATATTCACTTGAGACTGTTTTTTCTACTGGTTACCTGCTAGTTTTGTTTCAAGTTGTGTAAATATAATAAATTATATGCATTTGTAATTATTTTCAAGTTTCCTTCTGCTAATATAGTCTGTGATAGCATTAGTATCTACTGGCAAACTAAAAGAAATAGAATTTTCAAAGAGAAACAGGAACATAAATTGTGGCCTTGTTTAACATACACTTTCAGTAGAATATTGAATCCTGGAACACATACTGTCCTTGTTGGATGGGAGGCAAAATCTGGCAGAGGACCAAATTGCTACATTAGTCTTTAATCTCAGGATCAATATTCCCATGATACTCAAATATTCCCTATATGTAGACAAAGCACATAAGTGAGTAACCCTGAATAACTGATGATGATACCACCTGCTCCCACAACCCCTAAATGAGCAAAGTAGTCATCATTACAATCACTAGTATCTTTAGTTAAGAATGGAAAGTACACTTAGTAGAAAATGGCATGCTTGTAGTAGAGCAAAATGCCCAGTAAGGTTTTACTATGCTTTCTACATGGTCATTATAAGGAGAATGAGCAAAATAATATCCTTGCTAGTCCAAGTACAGATTTTTTTCAAGTTAATGGGCTAAAAGAAAATTATAATAATATTTTCCTAAAAACCTAATTGTGACTTAAACTTCTATGTGACGTTTTAGCAAGAACATCTGAGTACCCCTTAAGTTTCAAGATCACCACGTAGCCCTCAGATACACCCCTGAAGAGGAAGGTGATGATGTCTACTATGTGCAATTGGGAAACCCGAGACATGCAGGAAAAACAAAACAAGGAAAAGGGCAAACCAAAAGAAAAGCATTTAAAGCAAAATCTTTCCAACTCTTCAAATTGTAGATTGTGTGATTTGGTAAAACCATGTTCCTAAATGTCTAAAAAGTTACCATGGCATTTCTATCAATAATTTCTGTTATGTATTTATTCACATCTTTGACATGTATTTGTTTTCTTTTACATTTTATTATTTTATGCCCAACATTTGTTAAGTGAACTTTTGAAATCCATCAAAGGGGCTTACTGACTGTTGAATGAGGCTTTACTTCTGTGTTGAACTCAACATAATGATAAGAATGAGTTAACAGAAGAAATTATCTGTTGGATGACAATCTCATCATCAGCTCCTGCTTTATTTAAATAGAAAAATGGGAAGCATAAAAACAATGAGGTCAACCTATTCCTTTCCACTAGCTATTGTGATGAAAGATGCATTGCTTAAAGAAAAAAAAAAATCTCTAGGAAGTTTCTCTAATACATTAAAATTCATTATTAATACCTCATTAAAACATTTTACTTTCACAGGACGTGCTCAATCCCAGTGTGTTTTAAGGGAGAAAAATATGAAGGAAATTTAGAATGCTTCCTTTTCTTCCCATGAAGACTATTTGAATTGTTTTCTTTACTTCTTAAAAGAGAACACCTGTTCTTGTATAAAGTGACTGCACCAGAAATTCTAAGAAAGCAGCAAGAAGCAAAAGCTGGAAATAGCTGTTTCACAGCAGGTAATCATACCTCAGGATGTAGCTACTGTACAAAGTTTATACTTGGATAATCCTGGATGGGAATAAAGGTAGGGGGTAACTGCCTGACAAACCTATTACTATACAGGCCTTAGCATCATGAATGGCTTTCTTCACGAGGATCTGAAGTTACTATCTCTGACCACATTGTACAGAAGAGCCAGTAAGAATCTCAAAGAGGGCAATTTCCACTAAGGGAATTAAGCTACACAAAAGGAACCTTCACACAGAAACTCTATCAGAAAAAGAAAACAAAACAAAACTAAACTAAACATAGGAAGCCATGTGTCCTACATAGTAACAGGAAGCTGAATTGTTTCTGACCCCCATTTTAATGAGCTTGCCCACCATGCTGAACTGCAGCTGGAATGTTCATTGACAACAGCAACCCTGATCTGGAGGTGTGTGCGGCATAGGATTACTTGAATAAACAGTGAAGAACATTTCCAAGGACTAAATGAGAGTTTATAAGTCCCAGCCCCTCACCAGGAAAATAATATATGTGCATTGGACTTTCACCCAAGCAAAATTCACTCACATCGTTCAATAAGGTAGGAAAAAATTAAAGTATTTTATTTTCATGCCTAAAATTACAAAGGTATTTTAGGTATTTTAGGCATACCTAAACTTGCAGAAGAGATTATATAACACAAGAGATCTATATAAATCTGTAATTCTTCAGCCCATGGGGAAAATTGAATCATGTTCTAGGTTAGAATTTGAAGGAAAATAAATGCACTGTGAAAACAGGTTGTAAGATATAAAATAATGAAAAAATGTGGACAGTCATTAAACCATGCAGTATAAAACACAGAACAAAAATGGGGACAGAAGAAACAAATAGCTTAACATGAAATGGAATTTTCCACTTAGATTAGCTGGATCATATTAGCTGTATAATTCTTTCCCTAAAGCAAATAAAAGATTCCTTCCTATTTTCCTGCAAAAATACCTTTTAATCATTTAATATTAATAATAAGAAAAATAAAATTAATAATCACAGAAAATTATTGGTTCTACTGATATCGAGGATCTCAAGATATATGCAACTATTCTTGAATAGTAAAAGCAGAATTTTTTTATTATGTATTTCTATACCTGTATAGTCTTTTACCTAATAAAAATAGATGGAAAAAACTTTTAAGAATTGTAAAATTAGCATCTTAAAATATAATAAATGATATTCCTATGTATCAATTACTATGACTGCTATAAAAAAATAGAAATTTGACTAGCTTGATTAGTAACTAGCTATAAAATTGATATGAAATACAATTAAGATGCTTTAGACTATTTCATAAAACTCTAATATTTAAAATTTGAAAAATCAAATGTATTTAGAATATGATACATTTAATTTATAGACGAAAAATGTTTAAGGTAAAAAGATTATATGATTGTGTTCACTTACCTAGCAAAAAACCCAACTGTGCTCTGCTCAAAAAATTAAAATATTAAAAATGATTATAGGTTTTCAGTTTCCACATGTGTTTTAAAGACTTTTTTCAGCATGCTGGTCTGATTGTTTTCTGTTTTTTCCTGACTCCATTCTAGGGCTCATTAGTAACTGACACTACCTTGTGTAAAGACCTCAACACTGCTGACCATGATCAGCCCAGCCTGGAGCCTCTTCCTCATTGGGACTAAAATTGGGCTGTTCCTGCAAGTGGCACCTCTATCTGTTATGGCTAAATCCTGTCCATCTGTGTGTCGCTGTGATGCTGGTTTCATTTACTGTAATGATCGCTTTCTGACATCCATCCCCACAGGAATACCAGAGGATGCTACAACTCTTTACCTTCAGAACAACCAAATAAATAATGCTGGGATTCCTTCAGATTTGAAAAACTTGCTGAAAGTAGAAAGAATATATCTATACCATAACAGTTTAGATGAGTTTCCTACCAACCTCCCAAAGTATGTAAAAGAGTTACACTTGCAAGAAAATAACATAAGAACTATCACTTATGATTCACTTTCAAAAATTCCATACCTGGAAGAATTACATTTAGATGATAACTCTGTCTCTGCTGTTAGCATTGAAGAAGGAGCATTTCGAGACAGCAACTATCTCCGGCTACTTTTCTTGTCCCGTAATCACCTTAGCACAATTCCCTGGGGTCTGCCCAGGACTATAGAAGAACTACGTTTGGATGATAATCGCATATCCACTATTTCATCACCATCTCTTCAAGGCCTCACTAGTCTAAAACGCCTGGTTTTAGATGGAAACCTGTTGAACAACCATGGTTTAGGTGACAAAGTTTTCTTCAGCCTCGTTAACTTAACAGAACTATCACTGGTAAGGAATTCCTTGACTGCTGCACCAGTAAACCTTCCAGGCACAAACCTGAGGAAGCTTTACCTACAAGATAACCACATCAACCGGGTGCCCCCAAATGCTTTTTCTTATCTAAGGCAGCTGTATCGACTTGATATGTCTAATAATAACCTAAGTAATTTACCTCAGGGTATCTTTGATGATTTGGACAATATAACCCAACTGATTCTTCGCAACAATCCCTGGTATTGTGGCTGCAAGATGAAATGGGTACGTGACTGGTTACAATCACTACCTTTGAAGGTCAACGTGCGGGGGCTCATGTGCCAAGCCCCAGAAAAAGTTCGTGGGATGGCTATCAAGGACCTCAATGCAGAACTGTTTGATTGTAAAGACAGTGGGATTGTAAGCACCATTCAGATAACCACTGCAATACCCAATACACAGTATCCTGCTCAAGGACAGTGGCCAGCTCCAGCGACAAAACAACCAGATATTAAGAACCCCAAGCCTAAGGATCAGCGAACTACAGGGAGCCCCTCAAGAAAAACAATTATAATTACTGTGAAGTCTGTCACCTCTGACACAATACATATCTCCTGGAAACTTGCTCTACCTATGACTGCTTTAAGGCTCAGCTGGCTTAAACTGGGCCACAGCCCAGCATTTGGATCTATAACAGAAACAATTGTAACAGGGGAACGCAGTGAATACTTGGTTACAGCCCTGGAGCCTGACTCACCCTACAGAGTATGCATGGTTCCCATGGAAACCAGCAACCTCTATTTCTTTGATGAAACTCCTGTTTGTATTGAGACTGAAACTGCACCTCTTAGAATGTACAACCCTACAACCACCCTCAATCGAGAGCAAGAGAAAGAACCTTACAAAAACCCTAATTTACCTTTGGCTGCCATCATTGGTGGGGCAGTAGCCCTGGTGACCATTGCCCTTCTTGCTTTAGTGTGTTGGTATGTTCATAGGAATGGATCTCTATTCTCCAGGAACTGTGCATACAGCAAAGGGAGGAGAAGAAAGGATGACTATGCAGAAGCTGGCACTAAGAAGGACAACTCTATCCTGGAAATCAGGGAGACTTCTTTTCAGATGTTACCAATAAATAATGAACCCATCTCAAAGGAGGAGTTTGTAATACACACCATATTTCCTCCTAATGGAATGAATCTGTATAAAAACAATCACAGTGAAAGCAGTAGTAACCGAAGCTACAGAGACAGTGGCATTCCAGACTCAGATCACTCACACTCATGATGCTGGAGGACCCACAGTGGACTGTGTTTCGGGTTTTTTAAACCTAAGGGAGGTGATGGTGGGAACCCTGCTCTACTGCAAAACACTGGAAAAGAGACTGAAAAAAAGCAATGTACTGTACATTTGCCATATAATTTATATTTAAGAACTTTTTATTAAAAGTTTCAAATTTCAGGTGACTGCTGCGATTGATGTAGTGGAGATGCCTGAACACAATTCTATATTTTAGTATTTTTTAGTAATTTGTACTGTATTTTCCTTGCAAATATTGAAGTTATAAATCATTTACTTTGTGTTCTACTGAGTAAGATGACTTGTTGACTGTGAAAGTGAATTTTCTTGCTGTGTTGAACAATCAGGACTGCGTTCACATGAGATCCTTGTAGTATAAGCACAGGCCATTTTTCACTTTGGTATTAATAAAATGTAAAAAGAAAAACTGGCTGAATGAGAGATTAAATTTCAAAAAAAAAAGTTATGAAACAATGTTCCAGTTATTAAAATTGTATTATTCCAATTATATTCAATAAATCAAAATATGTGAAGTAATGGGCAATATCAAACTTGCTGCATATCTCCATTTTGCTCTAAGCAAATTAGATATCCTTAAGAAAGTTAAGCATATCTTTTAAACTGAATACATCAACTGGCATAAAGGGAGTGTGAAGACTCTATGTTAAAGACATTGTCAACAAAGCTTTAGGAACAAAAGACTTCACAAAAACAATAATGTTAAGTGTGCTGAGTTGGGGGGAAAGGTGCACCTAGGAAAACATGAGATTTTAGACTTGTATGGTGTAATGAACATAAGTACTAGAATTGCATTTTGGTTTTTGCCTATATCATCCTGAGTTTTGAAAAGTGAATTCTAAACATAAAATTGTGAGTGTTTATGATGTTTTTGTCATAAAGGATATCAAAGAGAAATTTTAAGCATATTGAAAATACAGTGTAACTGTGATTCCCCTCAGCAATCCAGAGAAAGCAGTACTTTAAGTGAAAATTTAAAAGAAAAATAAACACTAGAAGTCAAATTTAGATCTGATTTTACGTGAAATGTTTTAACACTGTACATAAATGTCCAATTTACTTTCACAATAATCAAGAATACTGCCCATTACTGTCACAGTTTTCCAGATATTACATAATGAACCTGTAATGTAACATTTTTTTCTAGCTTCTTACTGAATTGTGAGCTATTACTTGTTTGAAAACCATGTCACTTTTTGTTGCCATGATTTTTTTTCAACAAAAAACCAAAGTGCATTGTACGCCCTTTGGCCAGTCTTGTATGTGCCTTGATCCAACGCTACATGTATTCAGCTTTTAAAATTTGACAAATTTTTCATACTTCCTTAAATATGAAAAATTATGGTCTTATTGCTGAATAAAATTTAAGAAAAAAGTACAGAATAACGTGCTTGCTTTCAGGATTATGTTACTATCACTAAAGTAGCAAACTGCCCAGCACATTAGTCCTGAACACCCCATGTATTTTTCTAGGCATAAAATAAAAATTGACTATGAATAAAATAAATAGCAATACCTTGTGGCTGTGTGTCATTTTACTTGAAAGAGTTCAATGTTTTGTGTATAAATTCATTTCCTCTTTTAAAATTTACTCTATGTGTGGAATGTCAGACATGGTTTCAAGTGGAAAACGCTAATATGCGCTGCTGCCATTGTCCTGAGTGATATTTTGTTAAGGTAATCTTTGAAAACCTAATTTGTTTTTAAATATCTTTTTTGGTACAGTAGACTGACACCAAAGAATTTGACTTCTCAAATATACCACTTTAGTAGGAATATATTTAAAAATAAATGAATTACCCTTCCTGGCTCCATATCCACGCATGTAAAATGGAATTATTAATGCTACCCACTTGCTGTGAGGCTTAAATGAGATATTGTGTGTGAAAACTACAGTATTCTACAAAATGTAAGTTACTGCTATTCAAGAAAATTTCACCATGCCTTCTCAGAGGTTTGCTAGACACTGCTGCTTCTACTATTGTCTGACACCAAGAGATCTCCAATGGACCATGAAATCTTATTCATTATTCATTTGCCATCTTTAAAATGTTTCCCAACAGTTTCTCTTTCACTTCCTATTATAGACGATGGATATTTTCTAGGAATAATTTAACAAAGTCAAATGTGATTAACATTAAATATGGAGAACATTTTTTAAAGAAAGATTGATTTTGCTTCTAGAGATTTTGAATAAAGGAGCTATACTGCTGTCAAAGAAAGGGCTTAGTTGTTTCCTAAAGTCTCTATAAATCTGGAGTATAAAAAATGCAAAAATCAAGAGATTATACTGACTTTTCCAATTAGGATAACTTGCATGAGCAAAGAAAAAATTATGTATGCTTTTATATTTGGCTTTTGATTATGTCACCAGTAGTAAATCAGAAACATGTTTTAAACCAGCAAAAACATGAGCACCAAGAGGTTAAAAATATTGTTTTACATAGGCTTGCTATAAAATATAAATGCTTAAGCAAGTAAACTAGCTAGATAGGTACAGACATAGATATTTAACAGAGATAGAGACAAAGACAAAAACAATAGGATATCAAGACACAAGTCTCCACTTTAAAGGGCACTTAATTATATACATAAGTCTATGTATCTCAAACAAAATGTTCAGAATTTTTACTGATTAAACTACACTGCAAATCAGATACAGTTATTGGGAGAAAATATCCAATCGTGAGTGTGAAGAATATAGATTTAAAAGATTAAAAGAAAACTGGGGAAAAAATAGAGTGAAAATGATTCCCTTGCTTAATGTTTTACAAAAGCTCAAAAATTGTTTTATGATGCAGTCACTTGTAACTGCATGACATTGCTGCACTTAACACTTGTTTCCTATTAAAAACAACACTCTTCTGTCTTTTTGTAAGGTTGATTTATTAAAAATTTTCCCCTCTGCAAAAGGAATTAGAAAAAATGCTTTACTAACCACAGTTTCTGATTAAAGCACATTTTTATAGCTACATGCCAACTTGACAGTATTCATGAGGAACCCAAGAGACCCACATGCATTAAAGCACCTACAGCGTGGGTGTTAAAGGAGCCAACCCATCACTGAATTCATTTTAATATTAGCTCATCTGCTGCTGAAAACAATAGTGGCATTTGAAATTAAAATTCCTTTCTCCTACTTGGCATGATTAGCAAATCCTAATTTAGCATAGTCCTGGAATTACACCTACTGTACTTTTGTTTGGGAACTTATTAAATTAACAAAAATTAATTCATGTTTATCAACCACTTAAAGAACTTCAAAGAGCTAGGGATAGTGGCTTAGACCTGTAATCTCAGAACTGTGGGAGGTTGAGACAAGTTTCAGCTCTGCCTAGGCAAAGTTACTGACTTTGTGAGACCCTCTCTTGCTATAAAAAATACCAAAAAAGACTAGGGTTGTAGCTCAGTAAGAAAAAAGAAAGCAGTGGCTTTGAGTGGCTTCTGTATCACAAATAACAGAAGCTTTGCCTTCAAGAAGTATGCTGTCTGGAGGTTGTAAAGCATAAACATTATCTAATGCAAGTTTACTGTTATCTGCAATATAGAGGAAGAAGCAATTACACCTATTGAGATGGATCAAGGAAGACCTCATGAATGAGATAAAATCAGCGCTTGGTGTTCAGTGGTAAAGCATAAGAATGAGTATAACATGATAGCATGAAAGAGTATAACATGATAGCACGAAAAGCACATAATTGCCATGGAGAGAAAATGATGAACAAATTCATAAAGATAGAAAATAGGCAATGTTTCTCAATGCTAGCTTTGGTGAGAATCACTTAGGTTTTTTTCATTAAGATAAGCAGGCATCAATACAAATTTACTAAATTGAAATCTCTCAAGTTACAGCTGGAGATATCCAAAAAATGATTCTAATAGGGTTGAGAACTACTAGTGATTTTAGAGGTGATTGGAAAAAGGCCATTAGTATAATTGAAATAGAGGTGTAAAGAAGGTAAGACAAAGTGTATTATTTTCTGTCAGGCTTTGTAGTATGCTGAATTCCAAGCTGTGATGTCTGCACTGATAATCATCAACAGTTTTTGAGCAAGTGTAGAAACAACCAGTGTACTTTAGGAACATTTTGTAAAAATACAGAATGCTGTGAATGAGGATAAAAATTGGGAGCAAATAGACAATTTAGAAGGCTATGTATTATTCTAGGTAAGAAGAAAACAGAAACTTGCCTGAAGGGTGCCTTCCCAGGGCAATGAGGAAGAGGAGGAGGAAGAAATGGAGGAGGGAGAGGAATAAAAGCACGAGTGAAACAAAGAGTAGAATGTTGAAATTGATGAAGATAAATAAAATGTTAGTGAAACAACTAATAATGATGGGAAACAATGGATAAGCAGGTTTAATAGTATTTTTTACATACTGAATTTGAATAAGTGACTTAATGTACAGTACAGTTTTACATCTGCTAATTATCAATAGTGCCCTCTTTAACCCTCAGTAGGACCCAGTATAGATGATAAATTAAAAGCACCTAAGGTTCAATGTACTTTTATGCTATCCCTCTGGAAATGTCTATAAAAGTTAAGAAATGAGAGTCTGTAGACAGATGCTCGGCATCAGAGAAGGCAATCTATATCTAAAAGGTTGTTATTAAAATTAAGAGGGGGATGAGACAGTCATTAGATAAAGAACATAGAGAAAAGAGAGGAATCAAGGGACATTCACCCTTTAGAAGGATAGAAGAGGGAGAAGAATCCAAAACAAACAAAAAAATAAACAAAGAGGGGTTCCAGAGGAGGAAAAGAATCAATGGAAAGAAAATATTATGAAGTTAAAAAACTATAGAAGTTCTTTTAAAATGTCAAAAAATGTACTCAGGATATCTAAATTGAAAAAAAAAAGAAAGAAAGGAAACCCTCAAGGATTATAAAAGCAGTTTTTGCAGAGTGGTAAGGCAAAAGCCAGTAGGGCATTGATGGGCTAATGGGAGGTAAGAGCAAACAGAAATAATGATTAAGACTACTTGTAGGAATCTAGGAGGATATAGGAGTCTTGGTAGATCATAGAGAGGAACAAGAGAGATTAAAAGGAAATGAATACTAGGCAGGAGATTTATTGACCTCAGGAATGAGATGTGGTGTAAAGGTAAGAATCTACAGAGAATAGGGAGCAAATTTAATAGAACAAAAAATTGAGATACTCAAGAGATGTGGTCCAAGTCATGGCTGCGACTCTATTTTGGAAGGGTCACCAAAAAGACAAAGTCATTGAGAGTGATGGAAAGAGTTAGTGTAAACCTAAGAGTTGTAAGGCAGTTCCTAAAGATGCTGAGGAGATCTCCCAAAGATAAAGAGGATGGAGATGATGATAGAATTAGAGGCCATAGATGTAAAACAAAGGTTTTTGAATAATGCAGGCAAAAAAGTCAGATCTTCTAGGTTTGGAGAAAAA